GGGGAAGGAGAATGGGAGAACCAAAGGGAAAAATATGGAAAAAAAAATACTTGTGAGAGGGAGGAGAGTTAAAGTTACTATTCATTTTGTGAAAGGGGGTTTTCCTCCCGTTAGCTATTTAGATATAAGAGTGAGCTCACCAACGACCTGTTGATCCAAGTGGAAGGAGCTCGATTCCCTTAAGCAAGATTTCGAGTTTGAGTCTTGTAAATGAAAAAACAGGCGTTGGGAGAGCTTCCCCGTATGGGTCTGATTTGATTCGACTCCGGATTAGTCAAGACCTAATATGACTTCTAGATACCAAGGAGTTAGTACAAAATATATATATATATATAAGTGAACTCCTATTGAACATATTCTAACAATCTAAGCAAGTCCGGTGACAATCTTTTCTTCCAGTAAGGAAAAGAAATCTTAAATTTGAATTTATGAGCATACAAATGAGGTGTATAAGAAGATGAAAAAAAAAATAGTTCTTATTTTGTAATTTAAAATAATGAAAAAATCTTACCATTTCAAGGACTTTCTCTCATTTAATGATCATCCTTTTTTTCAGTCGGGCCTCAAAATAAAATCAGTTATTTTCCTTTGGAAAGATAATTGAAAGCTTAAGATTATTTTGAAAAATGAAATTAGGCCAGTATACGGCCCAAAACATTTGGTCTTGTCCCAAGAAAAAGTAAAGGAACTACTAACAATGGGCTTAACAAGAATAGAACAAAGCAGCCCATTCAGTCTATACCGTTCATATATAGCCCAATCCATCAACATTTACATGAAATTACAGAAAACCCCATCACCAAATGAAAGCGAACGCAAATTGAGAGTAAAGGAAGCACAAAGAAAACACAAAACTAAAAAAGCTTAGGAGTCACCCAGCCAATAGAGCAAAAGCGCACAGATCGCTGACCTGGAATGAAAATTCCAAATCCCGCCTAAAACCGCCCCCCGATTTTTCCATTTCATTTCATTTCGTGCGCAATTTAATTTCAATTTCCCCCAACATAATATTCCGCCTTTCGGCGTTCTCTCCTCCCACATATTTACCCTTTTCCTTTTTTCTCTCCAAGACGCGTCCCTAACCCTAACCAAAAACCAGGTACGTTCCGTCGATTTACGCCGCTGTACTTCCATTTCCGCTCAATTTCCGTCGTTCTCTGTTCATTTTCATAGTTTTTTTCGTTTTTGCATCTGTTTCTGTCGCGATTTTTACTTATATGTTTCGTTTACTTTTCTTCGATTTCTGTCGATTTTCATCGAATTTGTGGCTTATACTGACTTGTATGTTTAGTAGATTTTGTATGGATTCCCGTAAATTTTCGCCGCATTTTTTTTCTGTTTTTTCCATCGAATTTTGGCGTCGTTTTGACTTCTATGTTTCGTCGATTTCCATCAGTATTTTTCCGAATTTTTTCGGTTGTGTACGTTTTGTTTCGATTTTGACTTAAACGTTTCATCGATTGTGTATGGATATTCTTTGATATTCTTCGGTTTTTTTTCGTTTTTGTATCGATTTCTACTGCGATTTTGGCTGATCTGGTGTTTCGATTGCAGGATCCAACATGAAAGGAAGTAAATCGAAGTCAGACACCAAGAGTTCCAAGTAAGTTTCCTGCGTTTGACCTTTGTTTTTTCTTTATTTCTTCGTTGTTTCTGCTGCTTCAGGATCAAAAACCAGCGGATCGCGGTTTCTGGATCTCAGATCTGTTAATGCAGTTTTTGAGATTCTCTGGTTTATCGTTTGTGTGATGTGGTTCCGCCTTTTGGTCATAGGCTTTCCGTCAATAAGAAAGCCGCCGTCACATAAGCTGGGAAGAAACCGGGGAAGGCGGCCTAGGATCCAAACAAACCAAAGAGGCCTGCCAGTGCCTTCTTCGTTTTCATGTAATTATTATCACCGCCTCTATAAATATCTCGTTACTAATGAAAAATCCTCTTTCCGTCAAATATCTTTGGCATTAACATTCAAACAAACCGTTGAAGAAGTGAATAGAACAATTTTTATTTTATTTTATTTTATTTCAGTGCATCAATGATTTTAGTTTTGAGTTTTTGGTTTTGGTTTTTAAAATATAAACAATCAAAATTGACGTTTAAAAACCAAAATTAAAAATTAAAATTACCAACTTATTAGGTATACAAGTCTACAAGATTTAAAAAAAGGAAACCTAAAACTTCGAAGTTAATTAGTTTATAAAACTACTTAATTTATTTTTAAAAATCAAAGTAAAAAGCTCAATTACAATTATATTAAACGAAACCTAAAATAATTTTATTTAAAAAGAACTAAAATTTTCAAGTCCATTGCCTATAAATATTCCATTCATTTGATGAATGAAAAAAGGGGAAGAAGAGAAGGAGACAAGAAGAGGAACAGCAAACTTCAAGCCTCTGAACAATTCTTAAAGTTCGAAGTCCTAACTAAGGAAAGTTTCAACTCTCCGCTAAGGAAAGAAGAGTCACAAAAACAAATCTCATATCCACTAAAGGACAAGATCAATTTAAGACCCTTACCTTTCTAAATTCAATTGTCAATTAAAGGATTATACTGATTTAGAGCGTGCCACCATTTAAAGTTTGAGTGCATATATTGTGACACCCCTAAACCAGAGATTGTTGCCCATATCCTTTAAAGTCATTGTAATTTGTATTTTTTATTTTACAAATCAATATGCATTTTGCAGATTTTGTGACCACAATGAGAAATAAGACATTATATGTGAGCACCAGAGATAGCTTCAAGGAGGAGTTGGATGGGATTCAAGAGGAGTTACAGGCAACCCATCCTAACCATTGATGGATCTTAATTACAGTCAAGTGTAATTAAGGGTTATATTTTTATAATTATTGATAGAAGAGTAGGTCTTTTACAGGCAACCCATCCTAACCATTGATGGATCTTAATTACACTAGAGTGTAATTAAGGGTTATATTTTTATAATTATTGATAGAAGAGTAGGTCTTTGATATTAAGACCTATCTCTCCATCAATATTTAAAAAATATATAAAACTGTAAAAGTGTATTCTCTTATTTGAAAATTGTTCATCTAGTTTTTATAATTTCCCAAAGCTGTTGCTTTTAGTTTTTAAAATAAAAAGTTTTCTACAGGGATACTAAATAAACAATAAAATATCATTAAGCAAAAGAGATTTTAATTTAACTAGAAAAATAATTGTTAGTCTGCCACAAAAAAAATGGAATGAACTAATTATGCCCTTGAATGTCACCAACTAATCCTAATTTTTATACCTCAATTGGTTAATAATTTAAATTTTGAATTTTGAATTAAGGAGAAAAGAATTTGAAAAAAGTAAGTGCTATCTGCTTTCATATAATCAATTATCTTATGCACTAAAAAAAGAAATCATCATGTGATTAATGAGATACTAATAATTTAAAAGGCATGGAGTAATTTTCATCAATATTGAAAGTGACAAAAATGTTGTTAATGGAATGCTTAATCATATATTTGGGATGAGGGAAATGGAAGGTAGGAGAGGGAAAGATTTTTTAACCAATCAAATTATAATGTTTTAATTTGATTGATTAAAAAACTTTCTTCTTCCTTCCTCTCCTCTCCTTTCTTTTCAACCTAAACATATTATAAATTGGTTGATAATATTAAGGGAGTAAAACAGTAATTTTCTGATTAAGAGGTAAAATAGCAAGTTGGAGTTGCAGCCTGCAGGCAACTGATCCTAGTGAAATGATCCTAGACATTGTAAAAGCCTGAGCACTCTAAACACGCAAGGTTCACCATTTTCCTACAATCACGTTATTTATGAGAGTATTGTTGTTTATCTTTGTTGTTAATTCTTTGCTTCATGTCTTCTATTGCATTGGTTTTATTATACTTAAATCACGTAGTTTAATTAATGTAATATTCATGATGTATACTTTAATTTCTCATATCTTAGTCATCATTTTTTTTTTTCCTTGTGTATATTTTTTTATAATTAATTGGTATGTAAAAGTAAAAACGATACTCTCACTTACATTTTAGTTTATTAAAGGAAAAATATATAAAACAATAGATTTAAAAATAATTTACCTTTCTAATAAGAAAGAATGTTTTTTCTCATGTATCTATTTAGGAAAATATATACATCTACTATTTTAAAATATAAAATGTTTTAACTTTTTTATATGTATTTTTAGGTAATATTTAATTGTATATTAATGATAATTAAATTTTGTAATAAAATAATCTACTTAATTGAACTACTAAAAATATTTTAATTATAAACAAATATTATTTAAAATTACATAAAAAATATTTTAAAACTTCATATTTTGAAACAAAAGGAGTATATCATATATATTGGTCTTGGCATATTGGTCTTCTTCACGAACCAATAAGATTGCTCCAGACATATTATGCAACTCACCCCTTTGAGTTCTATTTTACCGAATATATAGTTTTTTCGATGGCCAAACAAACCAAGGTTGCTCCAAGATTTGACAATTACGTCCCAAGATCCCCATCTCCACGTTGCATAATAGCAGTGCAAGACCTTTAAAACTTGTATTTTGGGGGCAAAGATGAGCTTTTCTCGTCTTCACGTTGCACAACAAGAATTGTCAAAGCTACAGTATTTTGGTGGGGCAAAAGATTTGTGAAAGGGAGAAATAAAATTAACCAAGCCCACTGCGTGCGTGATTCACAACCCAGTCCGGGTCTTGGCACTACTTAATTAAGTTGACTTAAAGACCAAAACGACTTCCAAGTCTTGGAAAAAGAACTCGAGTGATCAAGATTTCAAAAAGTAAAATGAGGATAGGTGTTTACTTGGCTTTTTATTTTTAGAGCGTAAGACCAAGACTTCACTTTACTCGGGCTCTTTTTTCCTTAAAGTAGTCTAAATGATAATCGTCTTACTTACCCAAGACTTATCCATGGGATTTATATCTAAAAGTTTTAAAATCAAATAACAAATATAATGCAGTTATTTTAAAATTTCATATATAGGAATCAATTTTGTATTTTTTATATTTAAAATTAT